GCTCTGCAGTCATATGTTATTACTAGAGCTGTTGTAAACGAATATTTTAGTAATCGAGGTACTCGAATCATTCGAGGAATCGTTTCAGCCCTAGTTATTACATTACAACTTAACATTTGAGTGTTTCATTGTGACTTTATGTGATCGAATAAAATCACACATTATGCTGCTTAAGATCTGAAAAGTGTGGCATGCATTTTAACGTTGAGATTACCTCACCTGCAGCTACAGATTCAATTTTAGTGTTTGATGGAGCCTCTTAAGACTGAATGTTTTAAGTTGTAATCCAGTCTTGGCTCTATTTTACAGTTTTTTTTTTTAGCTCTTTTCCCTTCCACTCTGACCCCACATCATAATGATGCCACCACCATGTTTTATGGATGGGCAAGCAGCATTCAGAGTTGATGTGATGTGCAATTTTTTTTAAGCACATACTGTTTTTATAGGTTGGAAAATCTCAGTTTTGGTCTTATCAGAAAAGTTTAATATTTCTTCCAATGAGCCATTTCCATTGGTCCAATAAACAAAATCCAGTTAATTAATGAATTGTCAAGTTACAAAGTGTAACTGATTCTAGGAGTATTCCTAAGTGTACGCAAATCCTTGCTGTTGCCAGGTTTTCTCCGATGGGCGTTGACCACATGGGGGGCATGGGAGGCGTGAACGTTCCCGGGAACTCCTCCTCCGGCTGGTGCATCTTCATCTACAACCTGGGCCAGGACGCGGACGAGAGCATCCTGTGGCAGATGTTCGGCCCTTTCGGCGCAGTCACAAATGTCAAGGTGATCCGTGACTTCAACACCAACAAGTGCAAGGGCTTCGGCTTCGTTACCATGACAAACTACGAGGAGGCGGCCATGGCCATAACCAGCCTGAACGGGTACCGGCTCGGAGATAAGATACTGCAAGTGTCCTTTAAGACTAGCAAGGGCCACAAGTAGAGTGATTTGGACAATGGGTGTAGAGGGGTGCAGTAAACATGCTGTGTCAGGCTTTTTTTTTTTCTTTCTCTCTCTCTCTCTTTGTAGAAAGGTAAATTTAAATGCCAAAGGCTGGCACATTTTTGGTTTAATCATATTCAGAGTAAACTGAGAATTTCAGTCTTCTGCACCTTTGTACTTGTCTAAAAACTGTCTATTTTTTTTTCTTGTCTGTGTTGTTTTCCAGTATCATTCTACTCTTTTTGGAGGGTATTATTGTCACTCACTTTCAGTTTATTTTGAGTGCATAAAGACGTAATCCCACAGATAGACTTTTGAAATTGTTCTCTGAAGCTAAAATACTGTTATGTTATATGTGTTGCATGATTCTCATTTAGGAAAGCATGAGGACGACAGAGGGCTCATTACTGGGCAAAGATGATTTAAACAGGAAACCTGCGAGTTGTTCAAGGCAAAGACAATTCGGTGGTTAATATAGAGCAAAAAGTAAAACCCAATCTGATCTGTTCACGTAGAAACGGATGCCTTAAATTGTTATAAATCGAAAACCGATCTGTTTGGCGTAAAAGAGCAAAGCACTTTTAACCAGTTATTGTTTGAAGTTGCTCTGGTTACCGACCTTTTTGATGCTAACGTAAAACATTAGTTCATCGTCTGACCAACATTTTAACTACGAGTAGCTTAGAAGCAAAAATCCTATTTGCTTTGGTACCCCTAAAAGTGTATTTTATTCTTTGTTGTATTACATGAGTCTTGTTTTAAAAAAATAAAAGTACAATAAATAAGACTAAAAACGGACCAAAGCCAGAGATCTAACAAATCAAGATTTTTCTAATGTGATTTAGTAAATTAATATTTTGGATTCATTTTTTTCCAAGCGGTACTGACGTCTCTGATGCTTGCTGACATCAACCCCCTGTTCAGTTCTCCTGTTTTCTTTTTGTTTGTTTCCTTTTCAGTTATTTTCTTTTGTTTTAGTTACTTTTCTTTGTAGAGAGCTACGTTTTTGTTTCAGTATAACTTGCAAAGGAGAGCTCATCTTAAATTTGTAGGAAACATTAATGGCCTTTGTTAATTTAGGTTTGCTTTTGTTTGTTTCTTTGATTTTTGATTGTTTCATTATAAATATTAAACCATTAAATTTTCTTTCGTTTTGCTGAACATTTTGTTTGGTTTGTTTCTTTTATTTATTTGAACATTTATTTTGAGTTTTGTCTTTTTTTGTTTATTTTCTTTTTCAGTTTTTTTTTTTTTTCCCGAAGCAGCGATTCTTCAGTGGGGAAAGAAAAACAAACAAAACGTTCCAACGTTTGCTGATGATTTTGAACGACATGGCAACAAGATCACATTAAAATATTCAAAATGAAGTGGACCAAAACCAATTCAGATAATTTTGGGGAAATGTTCAGACTATATAGACATTTCAAGAGGAAAGCGAGGTTCCGGTACATAAGAAATAATAATAATAAAAAAATTAAGCCTCTGTCAGGCAGGATTAAAAAATCTAGTCGATGCAAGAATCATCTCCAATAATCTTAGAGTGATGCACATTGAATATTTTCTATTCATTGTGGTTAGGAAAAGTGACACAAGTTTTATTTCATGAAAATATTTTAATGATCTCATATGTGAGCGGATTTTGCTTTTATCGAGTGAGGTTTAAATTGTGTTTAAATGTTTCTGCTTAAGTCAAATGATTTAGGAACTCTCTTGGCGTAAAAAAGTTCAGCATGACTTTGTTTTATTCGAGTTTAACAGAAACTGGCCCAAGAGACCTTTGGTTTATATTTAAAGCCACATTTTAAATCTGACACTTATGTGAATTCAAATAGTAAGTTTCCACTCTATTTTAGGTAATTTGATTTATAAAATTCATATAAAGTCTTAAAATAAGACATTTTGCTTCCTAATATTCATATTTATGTCACCGTCCTTACCTCTGTGCAATATTTTAAGGCTTGATTAAAGCAGGCGATAGTCTTGGACTTCTTTTTTTTACAGGTTGTTTTTTACTGACATGTTAGTGCTTTTGTTCTTTTCTTTCTGCAGTCTTGTTTGATATGTATGAAATGTTGAGGTTTGTTTCAGAGGCAGTCGAAACATTCTGCAGTCTGCCTTAATTTATATGATAAAATAGTGTAAAATACAGGAAGTGGCATTTATTTATTTGAGTGTACGCCATTATACTTGATACATATTCTAGTGTTTTTAATGGGTTATTGACTTGTTCTTTTTGTTATGAACATGTTTAACACTATGTTCAAGTTCATTAATGTCTGCTAACCTTGATTAACTTCATTAAAATGTGGGAAAATTACAGAATTACTAAAATTAAATGTCTTCAGAAGCCTACTGTGAATTTTGTTTAGTGGTTGTTGAACATCTGTAGCATTTTGTCATAGGTTAAAAATGCCATGTTTAAATGTTTTCTTTTAAATTTAACACTTAATCTGTTTACCTAAGTTATTGAAGCTTTGTTTATTAAGAATACACATTCAAGAACATTTTTAAAAATCTAAACCAATCTTTATTACTGTTTATTTTGGTAAAATAAGACAAATCAAAAGAGAAAAGCCTGAATAGTAAAGTTTATAACAGCAAGCTTTGTGTGTTTTGTATCTGATCTGTAAAATGTCCTAAAAATAGAATATTCACAATGACTACGGTGAATTACCAGTAGGGTAATACTACCTGGAGGATAACGCAGAGATCCTCTTTAGAAAAATTAAATGTGAGAAAAACACAATCTTCTCTTGGAGTATTGCAGAATTTTATTACAAAACAAACACAAATCTCAAAGTACACGTATAAAAACAGAAATGATTCTGTACATTCAACATTCAAATCAACTTTTCTGCATTGATTTTTGTGCCCGTTGATAGTTTTTTTTTTTTTTAAACATACAATGTCTAAACTTTCTGTTTAGTTTTTCTAAATGGTTTCTATCAACATTCAAGTCTTCCCATTTATTAGCTTCATATTAAGGCAGCTTAAAACCTTACAATCAAACTCGGAGTCAACTTTATAAGGACTGCTTGTATCTGCTTGTCGCCACAGGTCGATCGGTATTCACTCGTATCACATCGGCTTTATTCGTACTTCCTTTCCACTCAGTAGCCCGTACTTCAGGTTACACATTATATGTGTAAAGGAGGTTTTCTTGACTCATCATGGCACTGGCAAAATACACGTTAAGCCACTCTGCCTTGACACCTCGGTTTGCTATGAAGATATGCTGTATTCCCTCCCAGAACTAAGCTCCCTGTGCTTCAAGTATGTCCTCTGGAGATGAATGAATCTCTCGAATCCCTTTCAGTTCCCTCAGTAACACAGGAGGGCTCAGACTTGGCAGAGATTGTAGCAGGGCACGGGCCTCTCCAGCACGTTGTCGCCATCCACCTCGAACACGTAGTCGCAGCGGTGTGTGATCAGAGGCGCGTCGGACATGGCCACGCTCTGATTGCCAAACGAGATCACGGTGTCTCTCTGGAGGGAAGAAGACGGCGGTATAATAGTTACTGAGGTCGACTGTTTTTGTTTTTTTTAGGGTTTTTTTTAGCCAAGATCTACAGAGGAGTTCAGGCTGGTCATAATAATGAACAGAAACAAATCTTACCCTTTCCTTACTGACAGAAGAACCAGCAGAAGAATTGGCTGCAGCAGCTGCTGCTTTGTCAAAGTCCTTTTTGCACAAGTGCGCCATAATCCCAGCTGCCAATGCGTCACCCAGAACGTTAATCATCGTCCGAAACCGATCGCTGTAACGCCAAGCGAGAAAAACCTTCACTCACTGCCCAAGCTGACGCCACCTGCTTCTTTTTTTTTTTTTCTTAAATCTTAGGTCAGACTTACAGAACCCAGTCGATGGCCACAATCAGGGAGATGTCAGCAGGCGGTAACCCCACAGAGGTCAAGACTATCACCATGGTAACCAAGCCTGCTTGAGGTATGCCAGCTGCCCCGATGCTAGCTGCTGTTGCTGTAATACTGATGCAGGGGACAAAAAAAAACAGATGGAAGAAGTTAGTTTGTTCTAAACAGAACAACTGGTAGGACGGTGTCCTCAGTGTCCGTCCTCACCTAATAGTTACCAGCTGGCCAAAGTCCAAGTCGTAATCATTGACCTGAGCGATAAATATGGCTGCCACAGCCTCATACAAGGCCGTCCCGTCCATGTTGATGGTGGCTCCCACCGGCAGGACGAAGCGGGCGATCTGCCGGTCCACCCCGCAGTTCTCCAGGAGACACTTCATTGTGATCGGCAGTGTGGCTGAGCTGCAGAGAAATACGGCCAGTCGCGAATTAGATGAGTTTGTCAAATTGAACTACTTCAATTTTAAGAATGAATCAACGACGACTCTCGCACCTGGACGAAGTCGCCAGAGCAATGACGAGGGCTTGCAGCAGGCCTCGGATGTACGCAAAGGGGTTTTTGCGGGTGAAGAAGAAGTAGAAGAGAGGCAGCAGGATGAGGCCGTGCACGAACAGACCAGCCAGGACGGTGATGAAGTACATGCCCAGTTTCTCTCCCAGGTGGGCTGGGTCGTGCATGTCCAGGATCTTTCCTGCGACCAGGAACACGATGCCAAAGGGGAAGTACCTGCAAAGAGAAGAGAGGAAACCTTGTTTTCATTTGATTGATCAATCTAAACACAAGGAAGCATCTACTGATTACAAAGCAATTAAAAGTTGATTAAGTGCCAAGTCCTCTCTGGTATTGTAGAGAACAACATCCCCTCCTTTTGTTGGTGCATCTTTTCATCATCTAAATTTTTATGTTTTCTCAGACAGGTCCCTTACCAATACATAATGGCACAGAGCAAAAGTATGATCCAGTGCTCTTGTTTTCTTGCTTTGTTCTTCTATTTTGAAGACCACGAACTACATAATTGTACTTGTGTAATAATTATGTAAAAAATAAAAATGTGCGCTTGTTTGTGCTCAATATTTCTTTTTCAGTCTTGTGTTTTTTTAAAGTCCCTAAAAATCTTACTGAGTATATGAGTCACAATGTAGCCATTTTGAAAAGTCATCTGCTTTTCCACACTTTTATTTCTTCATTATAGTCATAAACTGACTTTGTAACGGTTCACTACGGGTAAAATTAAGCTTTGTCTCCCCCTGCTGGACATTTAATAAATTGTATTCTGCCTTGGCTTCACTTTAGAGTTTGCCGATTTGTACGTCATTTAAAAATGGAGCTGAAAAATTTTATAAAAAATAAAATGCAACACACGACTAACCAATGAATTGTGTCTAACATAATTTCATTGATGCAGATTCAAATGCACATTTGTGACAGTGATTAAAACAGCTCATTCGTCAAATGGACTCCACATTTGGACAATTTTGTCTTATTAGGCTACTTCATGCTGACACATCTTCACTTTTTTTTCAGACATACACCCTCTTTGTATTTCCTCAGATTACCTTTCCCTGATTTTAAAATGGGGTTGATGCTCTAAAACATAAAGATGTGACAAAAACAGAAACATTTTGCAAGAACCCTTTTCAAATCACTGTCCATTATGATTTAGCACATTTCTGAGGGAAATACCAAAAATGTCAGCGAAGACGAGAGTCCCTGGGACGTTGCCTGGAAATAATTAAGGACGATCTTTCAATGTGAACAAAATATATAAATCCATCAGTACCGTTTTAATCCTAGCACACCAAAGTATTTAGCCTTTTTGTTACTAAAATACCACGGCATCATCTGCAAAAAGTATCATCCAGAAAAGTTTTCTCTCAAAAGCAGATACTTAAAGCAGTGGATTACCAAGTTTGCCTTGAAACAATCTGACCGGGCCGACCTCAACCTCATGGAGCACTTCTGGGATTAACTGCGACACAGACTGAAACGAACCTTTTCATCCAGCAGAGGTGGCTGACCTCGCTAATGCTCCTGCGGCCGCTGCCAGGTCTCAGAAGAGCAGAGGCTGTAATAGCAGATTAATGCTCGTGGCTTTGGAATTAGATGCTTGTAATCACACATGGATGTGGCGCACAGGTGGATGTGATGTTCTGCGTTGGGGTGGAGGGGAATCTCTGCTGGCCACAATGCCAACCACATCCAGTGAGGTGAATTGAAACTAATCTTGTTTCTAGAAGTCCGTCTTCGCCATTGTTGCATTTCTAGCAGGATTACGTGTGAAGCCACGAGGACAGCTCGGACATCTCTGCTCACCCTTCAGCCATTTCTTTGATAGGATTTATTTCTCAACCTAATCTGGCTCCGCCATGTGATCGGCGGGATGTGTTTAGATGCATCAGATTGTCAGTAATCGCTCTTTTTTAAGAGATTGCATGTGAGTGAAAGTACAAACTCACCACATGGCCGCATTAATGATCTTCATCACGCACTCGTTTATGCACTGGCACACGTTGACCAGCGGCAATCCACGTTCGCCCATCTTCCCCAGCAGCAGACCTGAGATCAGACACAACGAAGACGCATTTGTTGGCAGTCAGCAGATGTTTCTGCTGTTTCATGAGTGTATAAAAACATTTTCAGGTTTTCTTTTATGGTGAAAGACAGGATTTTTTATTACTCTCTTCAAATTCAGAAGTTTGTATAAATCAAGACTGAGATGCCTTTAAACAGCTTGAGATATCCCAGATGATGATGTCATGCTCAGTAAGCCACTTAAAGGTTAAATCACACGATTTAACTTTGATGTGGCCAGGCATGTGAATCCTAAGGCCGCACCTCAAACACACTGTGTGACATCGTGGGAAAATAAAAAGAAGAGTGTTGTGGATCCCCAAAAAGTCTGGACCATTTCCAAGAGCCCCCCAAAAAACACATTTATCTGTTCAATTAATTCCCATTATAGACACAATGTTCAAAAGAGGTCAAACTGTTGAGGAAGAAGATTCACTCTCTGTACCACATATGGACTAAAGACCTTGCAACATCAGGAAAATACACCTCATGTGCAAAATGGATCCTTCAAATGGACAATGTCTCCAATCAAATCAAGAATAGAGACGACGACAGCAGCTTCCTGGCTAAAACTCCAGAAACGAAGCCTGGGGAAATCACTTAAAAGGCAATTCGACAACTAATAAAATCTCTGTAAAACTCTTTTGCTGTTCTTCTGTTTACCAAATAGCGGGACAGTGAGGAAGTAACAGAGAAGATATAACACAGTTACAAAGAAATGCCACAAAACAACATATTTCTAGTAAAATCTTACATTTATAAGTTACACCATTGTTTCTGATCTCTTTTTTCCCCCTTTATTTTGGTTTTAGTTTGGAGGTGAATCTCTTACCCATGGTGGCTGAGAAGATGACAATCCCCAACACGTTCATGCCTTTGCTCGTACTGGGAACGATTTTATACTTGATGTCGGGCGCAGGAGTGATCTCCAGGAAAACAGGGTGGCCGAGTCGAGGGTTGTGATAATCAGGCATGACGTAGACAAAGTTGGCCTGAGACTCTTTCTCGTTGGAGCTCTGCACACTTGGCACCAGGTCCGTCCGGTACTGAAACAAAAATAAATTTAAGATTTAAACTTGGTCGACGTCATCTGACGTTAGTTTCTGAGGTGGCTTGTGTTTTTTGCCTCTCACCTGCTGAAATGTTGCTTCAATTAGATTTGATGGGATCATGTTCCTGGAGAAGACAGCAAACATAAAACCACAGGTTAAAACACTGTAAAACTTGTTTTTAGTACACTTACAAAATAAGATAAAAAAATTAAAAATTCTGGAAAAACACATGAGTCAGTTGCATTTTCTTTTCTGTGTGTGTGAGATTAAGATTATCTTACATTAGAAATGCATATATAAATGCATAGGTTTTGTAATTCTAAAAACCATCTGCATATTCTGTTTGCAGATGTAAAGCGATATATGAAAAACAGATTTCTTCTTTAAACTACAATCTACCATAAATATTAAAGTAAAAAAGACACAGACTTGGCAGGAGTGGCATCCTGCTCCTCGAAGTTGAGTTTTTGTAGATTAATATTTTGCTTCAATTACATCAAGTCTTTGACTGGGCCAGTCTAGCACATAAATATACTATGCCTATGCTATGCTAGGATAGGCTAGGCTATGCGTTTGCTTTTCCAAACCGCTCCATTAACAATGTGTTTAGGTTATTGTCTTGCCGGAAGGTGAAAGGGTTAATTAGGTTATGAACCATGTGTTCAACGTGTTTCACCATTCATAGTTTTACATTTAAAAAGTTTTATTTTGATCCTATTAGCATCTTTTTCCTCATTTGCTGGGTTCCCTACAAACCTTGTGGCCAACTGCAATCCTGACTCTTGGTGCCCCCTTTGCCCCTTTTACTTATTTATACTTAGATTAATTTAGTCAAATGTGAACTCTGTTTTGTTCCCTGACGACAGCAGAACAAAGGATCCACTTAAATTACGCCAAACAGCAGTAAGAGGTTTACAGCAGCCTGTCCTGGGACTGCATTTATTTATACAGCAGGCGTCAGAGGCCCCTGCAGCTACGTCATCAGACACGTAACACGGCTGAAAAGTACAAACCGCACATCTCTGCAGTATAATTAGTTTTAAGACGAGGGTATTAGTCGAGCCGGGCCTGGAGAGCCGGGCCGTAAGCCGGAGCACGCTGTGACTTCTTTCTCCCGTAGTGAAGCTGCGCAAAGAGCTTCTGGGAAGGTTCAGGCTTAGCAGATCACAAATAATTGCCCTATTTTTAGACCAACTGCAGCGTAGAAGTAATGCTGCAGTTATTCTTCAGGAATTATGTCTCACTCCTTTAATGACGCTGTGCTAAAACGGTCAGATAACTAAGATATTTTACTGGATTTTCGTTTAACTTCAATTCAAATGTGCCACCACGCTGTTTTGGCGTACCATCTTTGAAGGAGGCACTCGCAGATGTTTTAGGGGAAATCCCATTCTCTGCTTTCCTTTAACCTACGGTTCTGTAAACTATAATGGGAGGCAAGTTTGAATCGTGTTCTGGTTTCTCCCTGTGAATGCATGGCTTCTCTCTGGATACTCCAGCTTCCTATTACAAGTCATAAACTTGACTGCTAGCTTAACTGGTAGGTTGCTAGCTTTACCTGTGTGCAGGTTATTTGTCCTGTGTCTCTCTCTGTTCATTAACATTTTCACATTTTCTTGCATTATAGCCATAAGAATCATTGTACCTACTGCATTTATGGAAATGCAGTTAAAAAAAAATGCATGGTTTGATTTCAGATTGGATAGGAATCTTCTGTGAACAGCAAATTTTCAAGTCTGGCCACAGATTATCAATTGTATTTAGGCATGGACTTTGACTAGGTCACTCTAACACACAAAGAGGCTCTGGTTTAAAATCTTCCATTGCAGCTCTGGCTGAATCTTTTGAACTCATCTGTCTGGATGGTTTTGCATCCTTCTACAGTTTTCTTTTTTTCTTTTTACAGTGATTGTATGTCATCTATCTTCCCATGAAAACTGAACATCTTTTCCCTGCTCAGGAAACAAGGTTCACGCCACGTTTCAAGGTGTTAAAGTGTTATTTTTCGGACTAGATCGTTGTCTTCATCCCTTATTTCCAAATTTAAATCGGTATTCATGAGAATGTTTTTTAAACCAAGGTTTTGTTTTTGAACTTCATTCACAAGGATCGTATTTTTCAGGTTCATACAGTAAATAATAGCCTTCCCATCGACAGATTCTCATGAAGCCTCTCCTCTGCTTCTCTGATTAATGCTCTCTGAAAAATGTTAGCAGTAAAAGGTTAGTAGTTGTTGGCATATTCTTTATTTTTTCATGGGTGGGATGACTAATGTATGGGATTTGTAGCTTAATTCTGGTTTAAACATATTCACTCTGTGTTCCTCTGACTTCATGATGTTGTTTATTCACTAATGTTCTCTAAGAAACATCAGACATTCACAAAACAAAAACAAAAAAAAAAAAAAACGAAAAGAGAAGTGGAAACCATTCCACTTCATACTGGAGCGGAACGCTGTACTCCATTGCATTATCCCAGTTCAATATATTGTTAATTTAATGTGATTAAACACTTGCGTAATTGAGTATCAAGTCATTTTGCAAAGCATTAGGATCACTGCCTACTTGAACAAAGTTGTAAAACTTTGCTAACTACTAATCTGCGCTCGTATCCTGCTCACAAAGCAACGTCATTTCATTTCTGAGCATTTTTTTCTGTTTTTTTTTTTTTTTTTTTGAACATGTGAACGCTGACCTGATGAGGTCGAGCAGAGCGTCGGCGGAGGTCATGACGGGGCCCGTGCTTCCGTGGTGACCGTCTTTCTCTTGCCCCGTCCCCGGGTGAATGATCAGCACCAGGACGATGCCCACAATCACGGCGATGAAGGTTGTCCACAGGTAGTACGTTATCGTCAGGACACCCAGGCGGCCGCTGGCCTTCGTGTCCATGGCCGACAGGCCAGACATGAGACTGGATGGGAGATTAGAAGCAATGAGATCAAACGTGTCATGTTCTTTTAGCTTTAACTACTTTCTATTTGTCAGCTTTTTTTGGGCTGTTTTGACTGCAGATTTTCTCTCATGCTGTCCGTTTGAAGCTCAACCGTTAAATCAGTTGTGTTCGCTTCATAATTGACAGATTTAACTTTGTGAATATTTTTAAGCTAAAATCAATATTGCTATCTGTTATTACCAACAACCAAAGACTGCAGGTGTAATTTCGGCAAACAAAATACCACAATAATCGTAGCTTTTCAGACAATGTTGACCTTATCTCATGTAGGTTTGGTCCAACGAGTTTAACAGGTTCTTACCTGGAAGTGATGAGAGGCAGAATTAACATCTTCAACATCCTCATCAATAATTCTCCAGGGAAAGAGAAGTAGATCTTTGCCTGCAAACAGGTCAGACAGAGTTAGGTAAATAAAGCTTATAATAATTGCATTTTAGAGATTTTTTTTTAATGTATTCTGTATTCTGTGCCGTGTAAACAAACTTGATTGATTCATCGATAGCTCCCAAGCGCTTCAGCTAGCGAGCTAACCCACCCTGAGAACAGGCTGAATACTCAAGTATGTCTAATAAAACAATTGAACAGATGTACAATAACTGAACTAAACATGAAGACCTGTGATATTTAATTTTGTTTAGTTTAATCTGTAGAAAGCAGATGAGTTTCTTTATTACTGCATCATTCATTCTGTTTTCCTCAGAACTTTTTGTTAACCTTTTAATCGTGATGTATCTCTTTCGTTTTAAGATACTTCATCTCTGCCAGTTTTTTTTTTTTTTTTAAATTGTGGTTACATTCTTTGTTTATAGCATTTAACACCCCCTATTTACCACAATAATACTGCAATATTAGGTAGTTCAAGAAAAAGCTAAGAATATTGCAATGACAGTTTGACTTTGCATTGATTCTTATGTAATTATTTGTTCAGTCAGTAAGCTTCCTTCAGTCTGAAGGATTTCCTTGCAGAACCATTCTGGTTGTGCGTCAATAAGTCAGTTCCTGTCCAAAAGCATTAAGCTCCTAAGAATACCTCACCTTACCGTGACCAGCAGTTCAGAACAAGAAATACTGCACAGACCACGCAATGAATATCTGCTTAGTTTGTGCATATAAAATGAATTTCCAGTTGTATATCAGGTAAAGAACTTAACAATAAAAATAATTAAATTAAAGAACAACTAAGTCAGCATCAACGTGAAAATAAAACCATCCCTTTAAAACTGATATTAAGCAGGAAAAAAAAACAGATTTAATACTCACCCATTATTTGCAATAATAGTGATGAAACTAAACCAAATTTTTTGAAGAGTTTAAGATCAGAAATTCTTCTGGATCACCGATTGTGAGTTAATGACATGCACATATTTATATAATGTAATGTTTTATAGTAATTATAGCCATTTAAACTGTCTCTGTGCGTTTTGAGATCTGACCTGACCTTCTTGTTGCCGGTTGCGCTCACTTGCATAACTGACTTTCACTAATTCCTCAGCACAGTTTTACAGGCGCTTGTGCTCTTCTTTCACACATTTCCCAATCTAAAATAGTACTTTTATTTATTTTTGTTTTTAAAATCTGATACTTCTTTGCTTATTGGTGCTGATTTTCCCTTTTCTCTTCCCCGTTCGTACCTGCGTAGAGAGGTTGAACGTCCTCAGGACAAATCCAAGAACGCAGCCGGTGATGACGGCGAACACGGACAGAGTCAGCAGCCCGTTCCTTTTACAGTAGTCCTTCACGTACTCCCTGACTTTCACAGACACCACGCGTTTAAACAGCTTCTTCCACGTCTCCATCCCTGCTTCAGACTCGGTCCTCAGCCCAGTCGCGGGCCCCCCGCCCCGCTTAGAGTCCACTTTCGGCCGAAGGCTCTCCGAGGGCCTCACGGTGTCTGAATGTGTCCCAACAGGAAAGTGAGACAGGGGACAGAATGTGAGCCTGACCTGATGTGGGTCCCGCTAAGCACTGAGGAGCTCATCCAGTCTGAGGGAGGAAGTGTCGGCTGACTGATTCCCGGTAAAGCATTGGCTAAAAGGATTATCCCTATCTCCCTCTAATAGAGGTTCCTTCACAGCCACAGAGGCTTAGTGGAGAGGTTAAAGGAAAGACAGCAGCACCAATTAGTGCCCCCATTCATAGCCAGTTGCAGATTATTGGTACCCACCTCCAAGCCTTCCCATTCATGAAACCAGAGCCCAACTCTATTACGCCTTTAAGAAAACCCAAAACTTCACTTACATTAGCGTGACTTACTATTTTTAAGGTTCAGAAATTACATTTATGTTAACAATACACATCGATATTTAATGAATGATTACATATATCTGGAATTGACCTTTAGAAAATGAAGAAATGAGTGTTTTTCTACAATGTCTGTTATTATAAAGTAGGATCGAGAGTGGCGTCCAAATGCCGCAACCGCAGCTTGCCTTTGTTCGCCGCTGTCCGAGTTGTCGGTCTATTTCTGTGGCCTGTTTGCAAGACTTCTTAACTCTGCAGTCAACCGACGTCTGCTGACGTCTCTGATCCAAGAGGGATGCCAACATCAGCCTGTCCTGCCTAACAATGGCCACCCACGTCAACTGTGAACAATCCAATAAAACCTAATCTGTGCCTTGGAGGAACATGACATGGAACAAAACCAGAACGATGTCCTTTAAATACATCAGTACTTTCTTGGAAAACGTTTATTTACCCCCTTCCACTGACCAAATGGAGGTTTATTTAAAAAATGTCATCTAAAACATTTTAAAGTGTGTTCAGTTCGACAGCTGCTAGCATAAATTAGCATACCTGCTAGGACTGTAGCAAAAATTATTTTACTCGTGATTCTATTTGGCAACTTTAAAAAACTTGAATCAGTCAAATATGGGCTTCAGGCTTAATGGCAACTGTGGTAAATATTTGTACGCAAACTAAAAAAAATTTTACATTTTATTGCAGTAACATAATCTGGCACGGAAAGAGAATTCAATGGAGCAAAACCCACAGTAAAGATATTTGTTTTTGATTAAACCATCAGAAGCTAGAGGTTTACCTTATGTTCTAAATGAATTTTGGAAAATTTGGTCTGAATTAATGTGAAATAATAAGAAAGAAAATATGTCATATTATACAGGGTATGTCTTAATGTCTGGTTTCAGTGAAGCTACTTGCCTCATCTACACAGTCGAAACAATAATTATAAAATCACAAAGACAGAAATCAGGGGTGGACGACTGCCCATATTTACTCTGCCACTGTTAGCAGGATGATAAGTGACGTAAAACAACAAATCTTTCAAACATTTGACATCTATGTCAAAGACAACAAAGTGCAGAGAAGCAGCGTCTCTGTTGGTGCTTAAACTAAATCAGAACTGCAGGCTGCTGTAAATAAGAGGAAAATTAGTGTTAAAGATTATTTGATTTGAAACAAAGAAAATTATAAGGTATGCCCTTAACTGACTTTAGTCTCTGTCAAAAATCAAAATTAGAATAAAAATGGCATGAAGTGTTTTGCTTTATTGTGATAGGTTGAGGTTTTAATGTGTGGAAAGACCATTGATAGAAGAAATATTAAACGAAGGAACAGATGGTGAGGTTTCATCTCTGTGTTCAGTGGTCTGGATCAGAGTCTGTTCAGTTTCTGCTCTAACAGCTCAGAGTGTCTGCAGTCTGACTGAGGGAGGTTTTTGTACGGCTACTAATCACTGTGTGAACACGTTGGCACCATTTACATTACGGATACCCTTACAGTAATAAACTGCAGCATCTTGAGCCTGAACTCCACTGATGGTCAAAGTGAAGTCAGAGCCGCTTCCACTGCCACTAAACCGAGATGGAGTTCCTGATTGAAGCGTCTTTGCATACTTTATCATGAGCTGTGGAGGCTGTCCTGGTTTCTGCTGATACCAGAACATAGCATAATCTCCATCAGAATATCTGAGCACAGCAGGATTTGTTGTACACCTGATAGTGACAGTGGATCCTGGTGTAACCGTCTCCACTGCAGGTTGAGTCACAGTGATCTGAGCTCTGCATCCTGCAGACAAAAACAAATCCTTCATTTGTCAGCAGAAAGAAAGGAGAGAAAAGGCAGCAGCACATCATGGTAGAAATGTTGCTGAGTGAATGAACCTGTAAAGCAGCAGCAGGTCAGCGTCCAGATGAGGATGGTGATGAGGGTCATGGTGCTTGTTGCTTCTGCTGGCTTGACTGACAGATCTGAGTCCTGCAGTGTTGAACTCACAGGACTATAAACCTTCTCAGTTCACTGGAGGATCAGCTGACCATGCAAAGCCTCCACTCTATGGAAATCATCTCTCTGCTCTCAGACAAACAGAGACACTGAACCAACACTAATAGATACTGGATTTAAAACTCTCATCATCTTATTGGAAGAGAAGAAAATAAAACAGAAACAACATGAAGGATTTTCACTTCTTGGATTAAATTTAAATTTCTCTTGGACATACAAGGATAATTTTCCTCTTTTACTAAAATTTACTGGTAAATATATAATATATCAATGTAAGTTGATATCTGCTTTAAGGTTTTAATGAATTAAATTATACTGAAAAACACTTTTAACCTTGTAAACATAATGAAAGCTGCAATGTTAAACAATGATGCAATGCAGTAGAGGAGAGAAAGGAACTTTTACTTTTCATTGGTGATAAAATGAAAATATTGTCCTAAGTTATGAAGAAATTTAAAGCTGAATTAATGTTGGATGATTTGCAGATTAAATACAGTCTAATCTGTGATTTTTATCACTTTAAAAACATCATTTCAGCAGCTAGACGTCTCCTGACAGTGCAGGAGGTTTTTGTACGGCCTCTCAATGAGTTTGTATCACTGTGGTGGACTTTTGGTGGAGGAACCAAACTCATCGTTAACTGTGAGTATCACCATTTAATTTTATATAAATCAAAATTAATTTTTACTCTTTATGTGATCAAACATTATTATTTTTGTGAGCGCTTCATGTGTATATTTTTATTTGTTTGACTTTGTTACCATTAGGTCAAATAGTTTATATGTAATAAATGTTCATGTATTTTATACCGTTTACCAAATTATATGATTATTTGAAAACAAACATTACATCAGTTCTGTATTTTTTAATTAAATAGTGAAATATTGTTTTTAGACTTTAGTGGAGGATCCTAATTCTGAAACCACAAATATATCCTTATATTTAAAAATATTTAATGCATTAAAATCTGTTGCCGATGCTTGTAAAAAAATAAATAAAATGTAAAAATATTTGCTTTATTTTGAGCTTTTAAAGTTTCCAGTCTGTTAGTTTGATGCAGTAAAGAGGAAGTGAAACAAACAGATGGAAAATCTTTAACTGTGTTCAGCCATTTTGTTTCCATGAAGCAAATCTTTACAGAACCAACATATTTACAGTAAATGTTGTTTTATTCACATTGATATTTCATGTTGCTCCTTTTATTCCTGACGAGTCGAAGTCAGAACATTTCAGCTCTGATGTGTTTTTCTCTGGAAGCTCCAGAAGATTTGAATAAAAAGCTGAAAGTGAAGTAAACATGGATGAATGAATCCAGCCTCTAAACCATCCGTCTCCTCAGTGTTATATTATAGTCCACTGTGATATGTGTGTGTCCTGACCAGCAGACGTTGATCTGCTCCTCGTGTCTCTGCTCTCCCCTCCAGCCGGCCCCGCGGTCCCACCCTCAGTCTCTCTGCTGCCCCCCTCCTCTGAGCAGCTCTCTGGGGGCTCGGCCACGCTGCTCTGCCTGCTGAGCGGCTACTCTCCTCAGGGAGCCCAGGTGAGCTGGGAGGTGGACGGCACGGCGGTGACAGACGGGGTCCGGAGCAGCTCGGAGGAGGAGAAGAGCGGACGCTACGGCAGCAGCAGCACCTTAAGCCTGAGCCAGGAGAAGTGGATGAAAGGAGAGCAGTACTCCTGCAGGGTGGCCCATCAGGGCCACAGCCAGGTCCAGAGCATCCGGAGGAGCCAGTGTGAGGGCCAGAGAGGCTGACTGAGGCCCAGAGCAGGAGCTCTTAGTGGGAGAGCAGCAGGAGAAACACCTGCTGCTCTCAGCAATAGGAGTCTGGATGAAGGCAAACTAAAGCTTGTGTGACGCTCAACTAAACCGCTGAGAAATGTTCAACAACTTAGACTAATGTGTGAAGCTCAGCAGCTGGATGTGAGTGGGATTCATTTGCTGTGTGTTTTAATAAAGCTTGCTCTGATACATTATAATGGAGAGAGTTTCATTACTGTCATGACAAAGAAGAAGAAACTTGATTTTATCAAGAGTGGCACTTTAAATAATTACTATATTGCACTTTGGCCACAGCGTTGTCCCATATATGCGACACCTCAGTTAACACCTCCACACAATAATTCAGCGCATGAGTGACAACTTTTTTTCATCGCAGATGCAACATGTGTCTCAGTACAGCTAGCTTTGCTAGCATCACGTCCTCAGAGCTTACCTTTCTTTAAGCTTTCCATCGAAGTGACGCTAAAAGTAGGACGAAGTTCCCACCGTCTGTGAAAGCTAAGCGCTGCTTATTTTACATGTCACCATATCTATGATTTATACAGCGCTATTATATTACTGACGATTAGACAGACATCTTCTCCCACTCAGAGGAAACCACTGCGCATGTCTGGAGCTCCGCGTGCGAGGAAAGGTGGAGGCGATGGGTGACAACAGACACTACGTCACGTTATTGCTTGGATTTTACGGCGCCACCTTAAGTCCTTGAACTTCACATTTTAACGGACAAAAAGAGAGCAGTGCGACTTGGATGTAACGAGTAACGCGACACTTTTGTAGAAATGTAGTGAAGTAGAAAGTACAGATACTTACTGTAAAATGTAGTGGAGTAAAAGTAGAAAGTACCCATTATTAAATCTACTTAAGTAAAGTACAGATACACGAAAATTGTACTAAAGTAATAACGGTTACTTCCCACCATTGCATAGAAACGGTGGTCGCTCCCAAGAGGAAATTATATTACTAAGGAAAATAGTGACGCAAAGTGATTTCAATAAGTAATTGTAGTCTGACTATTGGATTTGAAAAAGCAACGCGTTAGATTAATATTTAATGAAAAAAGCGGTCCGACGTGAGTCATCATCACTGGCTGCAGCTAGCATAACATGTCATGAATGCTAAGGCTAGTTATGTTATGCTGGTTATGCTAGTTCTCATGAAAATGAGAGAGCGAGAGGAAGAAAGTTGTTTTTTAATATGAGGAAACGAGCATAATGTGGTGGTGAGCATATTCTGACTTTTGATCCACTTGTGAAGTGAAATGTATTTTTATTTTTAGTTTTTTTTTTTTTAGTTTTTTTTTAAGTTTTTTTAGGCTCTAATAAAGTTTTTTAGGCTGATGTTTAACAGTGGTTGCAGAGGAAATTGGGGGAAGAGGGAAGGGAGTGAAATGCAGCAGATTCCCCAGGACTGGGAATTAAATCCAGGTAGATCTTTTGCTTTTTCCAACTCCTCTTTCACACAACTTATCTCCTGCTGGTATTTTTCGGCTTGTCGTTTTAGCGCAGTGACATCGGTTTCATACCGACTGTTTAGCTCCAGGTCCAAACCTTTAACTTTCTCCAACTCAGCCTGGGCACAACTTTCTTTCTCCTGCAGGAATTTAATTTCTTTCCTTTTGTTTTCTTGGAGGACATTTGTTGCTCTCAGGTTGTTGAGAATCGCCATGTCCTCCTCTGATTTTTGCAGATGAGCTTTTCTCTCCTGTATTATCTGCTGCTGTAATTTTTCAATTTGTTGTTGCAGTGCACACTGGATATGCCTCTCTTCCTTTTCTCTTTTTGAAAGAGCAGTTTCCCTCAGCTTTATATTCTGCTCATATGTTTCAGCCTGCTGCTGCAATTCCATATCATTTTCATACTTAATCTTTAGCTCCTGGTATGAAAAGTGGACCTGATCAAGTTCATTAAGAATGAACTTCTCCCTCTTGTGCAGAATTTTGATCTCTCCTGACATTTTTTGGAAGAGCTCCTCCTTTTCAGCTCTCAGGTCGTTGATAAGCTGCTGATTCTCCTTAACTTTCTCTAAATTGGCGTCTTTCTCCTGGCTAACCTCCTACTTATATCTTTCTACATCTCGTTTTAGTTCAGAAATATCCCTTTCATACTTGCCGATGAATTCATGGCATGAATGTTTCATCTCATTAAATTTTTTCTGCAAACGTTTCTTATCACCTTGCAGGAATTTGATTTCTTTGGTTTTGTTTTCCTGGAGAACGGCATTCGTTGCTCTCAGGTCGTCAATAAGCGCCATGTCTTCCTCTGATTTCTTAAGATGCTCTTTTCTCTGCTCAATTATCTGTTCTTGTAACACCATATCTATTTCATATCTACACTTTAGCTGCTCATATTTGATGGTTTTGCTTGGTAACTTCTGTGATGTGTTCACTGAACCAGTTCCTATCATTTCTCTGCACCTGCAGCCTTCAGTCAGAATGAAGGAGGTTTTTGTACGACTATAAATCACTGTGTGAACACGAAGCCGCCATGGTCACCCATACAGTAATAATCTCCAGCATCTTCAGCCTGAAAACCACTGATGGTTAAAGTGTAATCAGAACCAGATCTACTGCCGCTGAATCTAGATGGAGTTCCTGAGAACCGACTTGAAGCCTGATATATAAGAAGTTTAGGAGGCTGTCCAGGTTTCAGCAGGTACCAACTGAGATCAGAACCAATATTAGAACTTCCTGTGGCGCTGATGGTCACAGTCGCTCCAACACTGACTGACTTTGATGGTTCAGACTGAGTCAGAAAATTATTGGCAGATGATGCTGAAAAGAGAAATGAGCAACGTTAAAGGAAAACAATAATAAGTATGAGTTCAAAGAAAACTTGATAAATTTAAAAGTCAGTCTGACCCTGAGTGAGAAAACCCAACACAACCATTAGAGCTACTGGAGACGTCATCCTGATGCAGGTTTCAGTGTCGGAGCTCAAACACACTTTGGACTTTCTGCAGCAGAAGAACTTAAAGCTTGAGGAGCAGCGAAGCATCGAGATCATGCAAATCCACACCTGCTGAGATGAAACAGGAAACATAGAGATGATTCAGCCAACACTTCATCTAGTGACAATATTCAGTTTTTATTTCAACTGAAGATCAAATAAAGTATTTATTGGTTGTTCATGATGTTTTCCATATTCAACACTTTTATAGTGTTTCTTTGTCCCCTAAATGTGATGTGTAGTTATAAACTAAAACACACAAAATCAGCAAATGTTTGACATAAAATAGATCCATAAATTGAGCAACATAAGGTTTAAATCTTTGTAATGTTACCTGTATTCATGTTTCAATGATCCTCATTATGTTTCTTCTTGGTATGTCAAGGTTATCAAAGTGACTTTGATCTATTTGGACCTGTGATTTAAAAATGTCCTTTTGTTTATGATTTATATTTTGAGTTTGTACTATTTAGAATTGATATGCAGAACATATCCATGTTTACTCTTAAATTACACTTGTGATTAATGTTGACATTAAATGTAAAAGAAAATTGCATACACATCGTCTGAAAAATATTATACATTTTGTTCACTTCTTGTTTATTAATCAGCTGATCAAATTCACCTAATTGATGTTCTTCAATAACCACTAAATTAAATAGGTTCTCATCAATCGAAAAGCTCCAGATTCAACCTCATTACCTCATTTGTCTTTATGTTTTAATATGATACTCTTGTAATTCATTGGCCATTCTAGTGTAGAAATGTAATTATTTAATGAGAAGAATTTTGTCTAACTTTGTGTTTCTACTTTCCTGGATATTTTCTTGCTTATTGGAATCCAGACATTTTGCAACAACTTGATTTACAAAAGTTACAGACATTTTGGTTAGAAAGTGTCCTTAATGTTCTAATAAAATGATTTAAAAAGACCTGAACTCCATTTCTATCCATTTTCTAACGCCCTGGTCCCTTACTGGGGTCAGGAGGGTTGCTGGTGCCTAACGTTCTGGGCAAGAGGCGGGGTTCACCCTGGACAGGTCGCCAGTCTGTTGCAGGGCAACACACAGGACAAACAACCATGTACACACACACACTCACACCTAGGGAGAATGTAGAGAGTGCATGGTGGTGCAGTTGCCTTGCAGCAAGAAGGTTCTGGGTTCGATTCCCAGCCCCAGTCTTTCTGCATGGAGTTTGCATGTTCTCCCTGTGCATGCATGGGTTTTCTCTGGGTACTCCGGTTTCCTCCCACAGTCCAAAAACATGACTGTCAGGTTAATTGGCCTCTCCAAATTGCCCCTAGGTGTGAGTGTGTGTGTGCATGGTTGTTTGTCCTGTCTCTGTGTTGCCCTGCAACAGACTGGTGACCTGTCCAGGGTGACTCCGCCTCTCAACCGGAACGTTAGCTGGAGATAAGCACCAGCACCTCCCGACCCCACTAAGGGACAAGGGTGTAAAGAAAATGAATGGATGGAATATTTGCTGATTGGTTTCTTGAATCTTAAAGATGAAAGCATGAAAACCCAAAACAAAAACTCACATTTTTATTTGTGCAGACATCATTAGCTGCTCTGAAAATAAATAGAGATAGTGATATATATACACAGGAACAAGAGATAACAGAGGGAACAAGCCTCTACTTGAATGAATGTAGGTAGAAAATGTGTTGATCTGTATCAGTGAAAAAAGGAAGTAATGAAAGAAAGTAGATAGTAATGAAAAATATGACCAGATTTATTTCCTGTGCCAGTAAAAATAATTTGTTAGAGTCAAGATGTTTTATTTTACTGTCTAAATTTGTGTTTTTATATCTTTTTCTTACGTTTGAATCTTTTTAGATATGTTAGGGTTTCCAGTCATCTCTGTGTTCAGTGGTCTGTTTCAGAGTCTGTTCAGTTTCTGCTCTAACAGCTCAGAGTGTCTGCAGTCTGACTGAGGGAGGTTTTTGTACGGCTACTAATCACTGTGTGAACTCTAGGCCACTATGGCGACTCTGACAGTAATAAACTGCAGCATCTTCAG